GCAGGATGAGTACAGCCATAACTCTCAGTCTTCTTTTCAAAATCTTGTAATATACCCAATTACTTTTGCAGGGAGATGGAAAATTGATGGTGCACAGTTGTCCAGAAAAGCTACTTAGAATTGTTGATATCTTGTACAAATGAGCAAATGTTTTATAGTTTAGTACAGCCATTGTCAACAGGGGCTGTATGGCCTCCTGGAGGGCTCTGGCACATTGCAAGGGACAACAGAGTGGAAACATTTCTTCACACACTAACTTATAACATGTTATACGATTTATGCAATCCTGATTTGGCGCATAATTCTTTCATATTGTGCTTACGGCTGTGGCCAAAAAATGGTTGAGAATGGCTGGTTTAGTGCAATCTTGTATGCAAAGGCTGAAATCTTGTTGCACTGCTACACAAAAGGCGCATCTTTTGGATGCAAAATTTCCCAGGACATTATTTGTTCCATACTGAGTCAAGCAACTCTGCATGCAACTGATAAAAGTCTACAGAGGAGCCTTGTAGTGCAGTGGTTACACTGCTGTACTGCAATCAAGAGTCTGTCCATGACCTGAGTTTGATTCTGATGTGCTCCGGTAGCTGTCCCAAGATTCGACCCTTCTCAGGGCAGTAAACTGAGTGCTCAGCTCCCAGCAGGCGGGGAGCGTAATGTGTAGCCTGCATAATTAAATTGTATACTAGCAAGAGAGTGCTTTAAGCATTGTGGGACAGCATATGAGCAGCACACTTTGCTTTTTACTGAGACTTCATAATTCAAGGCAATTCACTTCCAAATGTTACTCCTCTTGAGTAATAGCTGAACAGGATTTCATCCAAAACGTATTTTAAGTTTTGATTGTTGCTGTAAAACAGTGTTCCCCTCTATGAGGTTTTGATTACATCTCCTTCATCTTTGACCATTGGCCATGGTGTGCCAGAGACTGAAGGGGTGTGTGTGACCTAACACACCTGGAGTGACTCACAGCAGAGAAGCTGAACTTGAGACAGTCAAGTAGTATGAGCAGGAAAGTCCTCTACTGGGGAAAAGAACTGGCAATTGGAATATATTTCTAAGCTAGATGAACAGTGGCATTACTTGAGAATTAAAGTAAGGATCCTTTTCCTTTCTGTAATACTATGGAGATGGCATGAACATCTCTATAGCAGAAGACAATTTGGAAATTAGTTGGAAATGAGTAGTAAAAATTGCTTTCTTCTGCTGATGTATATGTAATTTAACAGGCTGTGGCAGGAAGTCTTAATTTGTCATCTCCCAGATGCATTGCTATTTAAATGTCATTAGCACTAACTTTATGTCATTTGTCTGTTAGTCTAGGGTACAACCAATTGGGAGTTGGAATTCTGACTTAGAAATAAGTTTATATACAGTAACACATGCAGCTTTTCCCCTTTCCAACTGTTTTACCCAGGTGTCTTGCAGAGCCTTTGATGACTTTCAAGTTGCACAAGGATTTTATTGTTGCAGTTAGTAAGTAAACATTCTGTTGAAAAAGAAGATGTAAAATCCTTTGCCAACACTGTGACACCCTTATGTTCACCTACTTAAGAGATGCTACCGGAAGTTGCAGCAACCTGATGCATTGCATAATGACTGCCCCTTCTCTGTGTTATGATCCTGTTGTACTCCAATAAGATGACAGTCAGAGTTAGAGGGAACCAAATAGATCAGTAGATAAAATGCTTTCGTATTTTAAAGAATTCATCAGCGTTGGGCTGGGTTCCATTTCTTGGGCTGGAGGTTGAGGTGTACATTCTTTCATGTTTATCTATACACCCTTTTGCTGATTTTTCTGTTTTTAGCATGATGATATAATTTCCTAATAATAATAACAGTGTTCTATCAAGTCGGTTATGACTTACGGCGACCCCTTTTAGGGGTTTCCTAGGTAGCTAGACATGGTGGCACTGTGGGCTAAACCGCAGAAGCCTCTGTGCTGCAAGGTCAGAAGACCTACAGTCGTAAGATCGAATCCACGCGACGGAGTGAGCCCCTGTCGCTTGTCCCAGCTCCCACCAACCTAGCGGTTCGAAAGCATGCAAAATGCAAAAATGCGAGTAGATAAATAAGTACCACCTCGGTGGGAAGGTAAACGGCATTCCATGTCTAGTCACGCTGGCCATGTCACCACAGAGGATTGTCTGCAGACAAACACTGGCTTTATGGCTTGGAAACGGGGATGAGCACCGCCGCCTAGAGTCGGACATGTCCGATTGTCAAGGGGAACTTTTACCTTTAGGTAGTTAATAGAAGTGGCTTACCATTTCCTTCTTTGGGGGCCATCTTGGAACTGTGCAGCTTGCCCAAGGCTAGACAGGCTGGCTTTTCTGGGATGCTCAGTGGAGAATTGAACTCCCAACTTCTGCCTCCTCAGCTAGATACCTAACTCAATGAATTATCGAGCCAGCAATAATTATCTGATGAGCTTCTTAAAATAATTGTCTTCTTTTTACTGTTGTTGCTTCAACTACAGCTTGCTCAGGGAGGGGGCAATGTGTAGCTTGCATAATTAAATTGTAAGCTGGCCGGAGAGTGCTCTGCGCACTACGGGGTGCTATATAAGCAGCACGCTTTGCTTTTTGCTTTTTCATTGTTACTATTCTCCTTTTAATAGAGTCTGATGACCAAAATTACAGAGTGGAAGCAGTCCATGCCCTTGTTCACAAACTGCCAGAGAAAAACCGAGAGATGCTGGATATTCTAATCAAGCACTTGGTTAAGTAAGAAGTCTTTTAAGTATTTTCTGTTTTAATTGTAACACTGAAAGGGTGAGAGAAAAGGAGGAAAGGAATGATGGTGGGAGAAGGTGTTTCTGTTGTTCGTCTTGTTTGTCTCAAAGAGGTCTACTAGAACAGCCATTCCCAAAGGGGGCAATTTTCGGGGGGGGTGTTGGCCCCCTGGAGGCCCTGGGATACTTGAAGGGCGCCACAGATTGGAAACAATTCTCCATACACCAACTTATAAGGTTCATTATGCAATGTATACATTCCTGGTTCGGCTTATATTTCTTTTATGTTGTGTTCATGGCTGTAGCCAAAAAAGGTGGTAGATATGTTAGTCTCTCCATGCATATCAGACAAGAAACAAAACAGAAAAGAGAAAAAAAGATAAAGGAGATGAAAATGTTTGTCACTTTAAAGACTAACTAATATATTTTAATGTGAGTTTTGGGATCAAGTCTACTTTCTCAGACATAGGAGTTGAGAATATATCAGGCAGATATCACTCTGAGAAATGATAAACAAAAGCAATACGCTGATGCCTCGCAAGACGAAATTTAATTCGTTCCACAAGTCGTGTCGTATTGCGAAAATTTCATCTTGCAAAGCATGGTACTAACGGTTGTGCAATTTAAAACAAACCAAAAAAAGGGAAAATTTCATCTTGAGAAACACAGCCATAGAAAAATTCATCTTGTAAGTCACCAAAAAATTGCAAAGGTTTTTCATCTTGCGAGTTTTTCGTTGTGTGAGGCATTCGTCTTGCAAGGCATCACTGTACTAAAACACATTCAAAGCAGTAAGGCATAATAATCCATTTTTAAAAACCCATGCAGAGAGCCAATCATTGAGGAAAAGATTCCCAAAGAGAAAGATATTTGCCTGCTTGCAGAAGGACAGCAAAGATGGGGCCAGCCTCCTGGGAGTGGGAGTTCCAGAGTCTGGGAGCAGCAACAGAGAAGGACCTCTCCTGTGTCCCCATCCAATATACCTAGGAGGGTGGCTGGACTGTGAGAAAGGCCTCACTAGTTGCTCGTAACACTTGGAACAGGCTTGAGAGGCAGTCCTTGAGATAACTTGGGTCTATTTAGGGACCTATACAATGTTCAGTACAAAAATACAGGTCATGCAAAATCCTATAGAAATGAACAGATCTGGTGTTTCAACTTCTAGGATTTGGCAGTAGAAATCACTCGATTACTGTGCCAGCTTAACAGATAATAACAAAGACAAAGACGGATAGAAAGATAGAATGATTGATTAATACAACAAAGATATATATTGATATATATTTATGTATATATAGGCCAAAATCCTCTTGCAGGGTTATGCATACAGCTTACATATTGGAGGTGGATTGCCCCATAGAAGAAATCACCATGAGCATTAACTGTTGTGCAGTGAAATAATGTTATCAACAGGGCCTCATATAGATGTTAAACAGCATTAGATGTTATCAACATATAACATCTAAAAGATATATCGTTGGCATTACACTGGCAAGAGAATTTTGGCCAATATATAAGAAGAGCTAAAAGAGACTAACGTCATTGAAAAGAGCCTAATATAGAAGGCAGAAGAAAATTCACTCCATAACTCACACCTTTGTAATAAGAAGAAACTGCATTCTGCAGATTGCACATTGACCTATGGAATAGTGCAGAGAGAGTTTCAGGAGATAGCAATTTTGTTCTTTAGGGAATAAAAGATATCATCATCTTTCAATGCCTGATTATTTGAGCCCATATCTATTCATTATCCCAGGCAGGGAAGGGGGTGGGCAGTGGATAAAAAAGGCCCAAGGGAAAATTGGCTATTTAAAAAAAGTTTCATCTTGCTAGCATTTTAAAAAGCACATTTCTAAGATTCCTTTAAAAAAACTGAGGCTGTGCTGAACCTGTTCATACTGATTGCTAGTCAAGCCAATACCAAAATCAGTTTTCTGTTGTGTTACTTAAGGACCCAATTTGTCACCAAGACAACCTAAATTGTATAACATAGTTAGGAATGATTAATTATAACGAGATGGAAACTTCATTTCTCTTACCGTTGTTCAGATCTTGTTGCTTCTAAATTTATCAGTATAGGACCTAACATGGTCCTATAGTACCTCATCAAGCCAGTTTTCTATCTTGGGCAGAGGGGAAGCAGTGGGGTAGCATAACTTTAAAAAAATCTAATTCAAAAATCTGTTTCCACAGGGTTAGGCCTTTAAGTTTGGAACATTGTTATACAAAATGGGTCTGTTGACAAAAATGATAGTCCATGTAATGTTCTTCCCACCAATACGTGTGATGTGTTATTATCACAATACGTGTGATGTATTATTATTATGGCAGCCAGTGTTACAGAACAAAGCTGAAGAAACATGTAAGTGCATTTTGGAAGAAATGAGAGAGACCATTTATTTCTGCCCTTCTTATCCACTTGTTGATTCCACAGGGCACACCTCAATCATTTATTGAAAGTTGTCTTTTGGAGAATGTTTTGAATATTTTCCCTTTGTTTTGAGTGTCTTTTACCTGTTTGGGTTTATTTTAATTTCATTGTAAATCACCTAGGGAGCTTTAGGAGGCAGAAAGAGGATGAACAAATGCAATAAATATATAATATAAAATAATTGTTAAATATAAAGTGTCAATCCACAAACTGAAATTAGCAACTGAAAAATGTATATTTTTTTAAAGAGATGCTTCTCAAAACATGTTAAAACTTGGTGCCTCGTTTGAAATGCATTTAGGGAATTTCTTTACTACAGTACTACCAACTGTCACCAGCATTTCTCTGATAAAATGTTATTTGTTCCAAATGGGTTTCCCTCGTTTGTATTACCAAATCAAAATGGCTTCTTACAGCGTAGATGTATGTAGAAAAAGACAGAATACCATATATGTCTGCTGAGTCTCTTATGTGAGTGGAAAGCTCCTATGCAATGCTTAACGTCCTTGTTGTTTTTCAGAGTATCATTACATAGTCAGCAAAATCTCATGACCATCTCCAACCTTGGAGTTATATTTGGTCCTACACTGATGAGAGCCCAGGAGGAAACGGTGGCTGCTATGATGAACATCAAGTTTCAGAATATTGTGGTTGAGATTCTCATAGAACATTATGAAAAGGTAAAACAAGAATCTTTTGAACATTCATAAATAAACACCAGAATTTGTATTCAGAATGACAGCCCTTTGGATTCACATTTTCAAAATTTGGAAACTCCAGGTATCCAAAAACCCAGTAAAGTCAATTGTTTTCTTCTTTTTAAACACATGAACAGGCAAGATATATGTGAAGATTCTCAGTCATCCAGGTGTCTATCTGGAAATTCAGTCATGGCAACTGGACTTCTTTCTTACTAGGTTGAAACAACCCATGTCAATGGGTGGAGAAGGACTGCAGAGGTGGGATTTTTACTCACCTCCCATCCTTTGTCCTTCTAATGAGCCTACTCAGACTAGAGGGAAGTGAAAACAACCTGGAAGATATATCAGGGATCTCCTACCAACTCTCTTCAGACCGAAGATAAGTAGCAAAACATTTCAACCTAATGAGAAAAAAGTCCGGTTGCCATGACTAAGCTTTGAGAAAACAGGGAAGATATTTTTAAAGGATTTCCCTAAGAACTTCAGTGTCATGTGACATCCAGCGGTGCAGGCATATCCCATGTGATCTATCTGGGGACATAAAATTAGCCCCTGGCTTTGTCAAAGTTGTCTGCCTCAAATGTATAAAGTGATGTAAGCCTTTAGGGGCTCAAGTGTCATCTGATGCAAAATACCCTGTTTCGCTGAAAATAAGCCCTAGTATGATTTTTCAGGATGCTCGTAATATAAGCCCTGCCCCAAAAATAAGCCCTAGTTAAGTGAAACCCTGCCCTCCACCATTGCGCAGCAACCAGAAGTAGACGACATGACTGTATATGAATAAATGTAGATTGTTGTACATGAAAAAGTAAAACATCCCCTGAAAATAAGCCCTATAGCGTTTTTTGGAGCAAGAATTAATATAAGACCCTCTTATTTTCGGGGAAACACGGTAGAATTTCTACAACTTTATTAACAAACAGTATTAAGATTATTCCTAAATTATTGCTCTGATAGATGGTCATTTGTTGCTTGAAAAATGGAGGCTGGGAAGCTGGCTCTCCCTTTCCTTTCCCTGAAGCCACTTTGTCATGTTTCTGCCTTTCCCCTTCCCCACCGTGTATCATAAGAAAAACGAGAAATGCAGAGCATCGTGACACAGATAAGTACTACTTGCAGTTGCTGAGGAGGGAGCTAAGTGTATGGCTTCTGGCACTTGCACTGGCAGATGTGTGATTAATGTCATGTCTTCTCCAAGTGCCTCAGTAGCTAGTAATAGAGGTATAAAATGTCCAGAAATCCTAAAGTTGTAGGATGAAATATGATGAGAGGATTTCCTGGTGAAAATTGAGGTGTATAAAATACTTTTTTAAAAAAGTCTAAAATGACTTTGTTTTAAGTACATAAAATGCATTGAGTAGAATCTGATGGTGGTGGCGGCGATGATGATGGTGATGATGGTTGCAGTTATGAAAGCCCACAATTTCCCCATGGCTTATATGGGAGTAGGAAGGGGTTAGTAAATATCCTCATAATGCAATTGGCCAGAAAAATGCCCTTAATTGTGTGTTCCACAGGGCCATTCTTAGGGATCCGGTCACTGAGGAAAATGTCTTCCTGAAGAGAAACCTGGCTTCCCATTGGGAGGAAGTTCCACAGCTTGGCAACAACAGTAGAGAAAGCCCTCTGTCCTCACCAAACACACCTGTGAGGAAGGTGGGACAGAGAGAAAGGTCTTCCCTAAGGATTTTTAAAACCTGGATAGCCTCATAAAGGGAGGTGCAGTCTTTTCTCGCCGCTTGGATCCAAGTCAGTCAGGGCTTTGTAAATCAAAGCCAGCACTTGGAATTGTGCCCAGAAATGAACCAGCAGTCCGTAGAGCTGTTGTAATGGGACTTATGTGATTCCCGTACCCAGTTGGTTAACAATCTGGCTGGGGCATTTTGGATGTGCTGAAGTTTCCAGACATTTCCAAAGGCAGCCCTGTGTAGAGCATGTTGTAGTAATCCGTACGGCATACTGTATATCTCCAGGATTGGGTGCAGCTGGGGCACCCATTTTAACTGTTCAGACTTGGTACAAAACATGACACTGTTCTGTGTGCTTATTAGAATGTTAAAATACAAATCCCTAAGCTCTTTTCAGACAGCAGCTACAAATATATTGGAGCAAGAAGAGAATATTCCTCTAGTGTTTGATGGAGCAGCAAGGATATGACAGTGAAAAACAGAGTTCAAGATGGTGTAATGTAACAGGGGACAATTAACTAATAGGGTATTGGTGATTATCTCTTAACAGCCAGGATAAAATTATGAGTAAATGAAAGAAGATTGTTTTGGTTGTATGGATTAAGAAACAGTTTAATACTCAGCATTATCTTGAGACAGAAGACTCTGTGTACAAATCCAAGGAAATACATAGTGGGATGAGCACAAGCAGTTACAGTACTACCCTTTCAACTTGTTTGCTGTTTCTAACTCTCTGAATCAGAAATAGTGACTTTTTCAGTCTTAACAGAATAAAATTAAGTGATACATTTCTGCAACAGGATTGCTGTTACCTGTTGCTATAGGTTGTGTTATATAAGTATTAAAAACTTTGGAGAAGTACTATGATTAGACCAATCTAATAAGACTTGAATAATATGATCACTCTCCAAAATAGGTCCACTAATTATTCCAGAGAAGAAATAGTTAATTAGTGGGAGAGGTTTCAGTGTGAACCCACATCTGTTTTTCTTTCGGGGAAAAGGCAGAAGTTCCTTAGAAGAGATTTGCTCCAACTGATGGAGGCAAGGCATTGTTGGCAGTAAATACTTTCTTTGTGTAGTCTATAGGTAATCAAGCGGACTTGTACATTGCCAAAGCACCAATGTCAGAGACCTTTGGGTAGAGTGGGTGGCATATAAGTTAGATAGATAGATAGATAGATAGATAGATAGCTAGATAGATAGATAGATAGATCGATAGATAGATAGATAGATAGCTAGATAGATAGATAGATAGATCGATAGATAGATAGATAGATAGCTAGATAGATAGATAGATAGATCGATAGATAGATAGATAGATAGCTAGATAGATAGATAGATAGATAGTAGCTTTATCTAGGAGACGTACTATTAGCTGTTGGTTCTGTTGATTTTTGACATGATGGCCAAAATCCTGTTGTAAAGCTCTGTGTGCATAATGCAAACCTGCAGAAGCAGCATAGAAGATCATGGCAGGATGGAAACACTTCCCCATGCATGCCATGCAACAATCATGATGGGAAGCTTGTGATGATTGTGCAATCAAATTGCACAGTGCTGGTTGCCTGTGTATAACACCGCACTTCCCCATGCATGCCATGCAACAATCACGATGGGAAGCTTGTGATGATTGTGCACAGTGCTGGTTCCCTGTGTATAACACCCAACACAGTTCTGCTAGCATATCTTTACATTGCACCACACTGAACAGGATTTTAACCAATGTAGCGTATTTTCCATGTATAAGACTATACTTTTGTCTAAAATCTTTAGACTAAAATTGAGGCTCATCTTATACACGAAAGTAAGCTGAGGAGAACAAAAATGAGTGGAGGGGAAAGCAGGGATCAAAGTGATCCTGCAGCGCTTTGATCCCTTTCCCCCTACACTTGCTAAGCCCCACTTATTTTTCTTAATTTTTGGATTAGAAAAGTGGGGGGCGTCTTATATATGGAAAAATGTGGTATGTCATAAATCATGATTAAAAGAAATTCCCTTTGGTGGTGTATCATTGCATCAGTTTCTCTGCTTTGGTTTGCCTCTTTCTTGGTGAAGACATTTGCTTTAATTTTGCCAACCACTTGTCATATTGCAAAGGAATTCTTTCCTGGCTGTAATATTGTTTAATTAATTGGTGACCATTATGCAGGCCTTTTGGGAAAAGACAGCTTGGATATACCAACTGGCAGCCTGGTGGTATTAAACTGTAAGGCTGGGACATCTAGTCATTGTCTTGAAAGTGCTGTTATCAGGTGCTTCTTTGTCTCTTGCCTGGTTGTCTTGTGCTGGAGTCGGTGTGATGTATCTATCTAAGAAAGACTGTGAAACTGTGGAGTGGCCAAAGATCAGGCCTGGTCTTTTGCCCTAAAGAAATTGTGGGTGTTCCTAAAACTTCTCAGGAACATAGATATGTGTAACATCCTTCTTTGTAATTGACAGATATTCCACACAGCCCCGGACCCCAACATTCCTCTTCCGCAGCCTCAGTCCCGATCAGGCTCAAGAAGAACAAGAGCAATCTGCCTTTCCACAGGCACTCGGAAACCCAAAGGACGGTATACACCATGCCTGGCAGACCCAGATAGTAAGTGCAGCTTCCTGCACTAGCACATTTCTCACTTCTCGCTGTTGGCAATTAATGGGCGGTAATCCTGTGCTCTGTGCTAAGCATAAGGGGTGCTTCTCTGCAGAGCTTTTTGTTCCATTTTTTAATGATAGAAGAGTACGGATCTTGGCTTTTCTTGCTGCCGGCACTTCACATTCTGTAAAGGAGATCTTGCATTATAACCTGAAAGTTTCCAAGCTTTTGTTGTCTTTTCGTTCCCTCTTTTCCTCCAGCAAAAACCGTCTGGATGTGCTGAGGCGTAGTAAAGGCAGGGAAATGGATTGGTCCCCAGTCCCTCTGTACAACAGTGACGCTCAACAGACGGCTAAGGTTCTTTACCCCTCTGCCCCATCCCCCTGCCCCAGCAGGTCTAAATACAAGTCATGGGGCATGTACTGATGGCTCTGTGTTGAATCTAAGCTGGTCTGGACTTCTCGTCCATCACCTGAATGAAAGATTGTTTGGAAAATTAATGTAAAAGTTATAAAACTTAGCTGTGTTAATAACTTTTTTAGGAATGGGCTTCAGATGAGCTGCTGACAGAGTAAGGCAGTAGAAGGACAGGAATATGAACAGAGGCTAAAAGGCAACACATTGAAACATGGTGATGCTCTGCAAGTCTTCAAGAGAATGAAAGCTATCAATATGAGTTCTTCGGTGTGATGGAGACATCTCAAAATGGGTATCTCCAGAATCTGACACTGAAATACAGCAGGACCCCCGTATCAGCAGGATCAGTATCCACAGTTTCACTTGTCCGCGGTCTGATATTAAAAATATTAAAAGAAAAAAAACTAGAGCCACATATTTTCATGATGTAGTTACCAGAACTGGTCACTAGAGGGAGCCAGAGACCATGATGGGCATTCTTATTTTTGAAGATTAGATAGTCTCTGGCTCCCTTTAGTAGCCAGTTCTGGTAAGCCGTAGTGAAAATATGTTTTTCAGGATTTTTTTCTCATTATATGTATAGTGTTCACTATTCACCATGGTTTTCAGCATCTGAGGGGTGGGGGGAATTGAAGCAATCCCCCACAGATAAAGTGGTCCTACTGTGTACTCCCTTGAGCACCATGGCTGGGGAAAGTAAGTGCATGAAAGAATGTCTTGGCTTTTTCTGCAAATTTTCTTAGCGCCTCGGTTTATCCTGCATTTCCACAGAATTGTGGAATAATACATGCACTTCTAATGAGTCTTGGTACTATGCCATTAGACCATGATGCATTCCTGTGTACTTTTGTTGACAAATAGCTGTGTTGCCATCCTATTTAAAAAAATTTCCCTTTGAGTAATTCTCTCTTTCTTCCTCTCAATCTTCCTGCTTTCTAGGTGATTCCTATAGTAGCAGTCCAGAGGGGCAGCATTACGTTTGTTGCTTTCTGTTTCAGAGCTCTAGAATATTCCGAGAGAACCGACGCAAGCGCCGGATTAACCCTTTGTGTGAATTCACAGAATGACCACTTGAAGAACAATGGTTACAGGTAAGTAACCTCGTTTTTCTTCCTCTCAATCTTCCTGCTTTCTAGGTGATTCCTATAGTAGCAGTCCAGACAGCACCCCCATGGGCAGCATAGAATCCCTCTCCTCTCACTCCTCGGAACAAAACAGCACCACAAAAGCTGCCTCTTCTCAGCCCCGGGAGAAAACAGGAGCTGTTCCGTGGATCACTTCGCCTCCATCATCCAACGGGCAGAAAAATTCAGGCCTTTGGACCACAAGCCCTGAATCCTCCTCCAAGGAGGACACCACAAAAACTGACATAGAGTCTGACTGTCAGAGTGTTACCTCGGTCACCAGTCCAGAGAATGTGACTTCCCCAGTAGACCTGACCCAAAGAGGGCTGTATAGTCTCTCTGGGTTGAAAAGGTCAGCAGCTTCCTCCACCAGGTCCATCCCTTCTGCGGAAAGTAAGTGCTGTGTGATAACACTGCATAATTGATAAGAAAGAAAACCTATATATTTCAGAGCATGGGAAAGGTTTTCTTCTTTTTTAAAAAAATAAATATTACAATTCTCAGAATCCCCCAGCAAGTACTGGAGATTTGTTTTGGGTTGTTCTAGTTTAGAACTGGATACCATAACTTATTGAAGTGTTTTAATCGCTGTGAACATTTATTTTTATATGAGGAGACTAATAATTTTTCTATCTTTATATGTACAATAAGTGTCTATAACAGCGATTCCTTCCCTTAGGTCCCAGAAGCCAGAATTCGTTGGGAGTTACTGGTCTATAAGTTGATACATTTGTCAATGGCAAATCACTAAAAGTTTAATCAAATGTGGAGGTGGACATCAGTTCTAGGCCATTGAGAGGTCCATACTTACTATTTCATTCATTAATTTTGTCTGGATTTGGTGCAAAAGCCACTGGAAGCTTCAGTAAATATATTGTCTTGAGAAACAAGCTTCACATTTCCTGCTACAGTGGTGCCTCGCTTTACGATTGCCCTGCATTACGACGAATCTGCTTTATGACGATCTTTTTGCGATCGCAATTGCGATTGCTAAACGATGGTCTAAATTGGGGGAATTCTGCTTTGCGATGATTGGTTCCCTGCTTTGGGAACCGATTCTTCGCAAAACAATGATTTTTAAACAGCTGATTGGCGGTTTCAACATGGCTCGTGGTGCCTCGCTTTACGATTGCCCTGCATTACGACGAATCTGCTTTATGACGATCTTTTTGCGATCGCAATTGCGATTGCTAAACGATGGTCTAAATTGGGGGAATTCTGCTTTGCGATGATTGGTTCCCTGCTTTGGGAACCGATTCTTCGCAAAACAATGATTTTTAAACAGCTGATTGGCGGTTTCAAAATGGCTGCCAGGTAAATAAAATGGCATCCCACTGTGTTTAGGGATGGATTCCTTGCTATATAGGCAGCAAAAATGGCCGCCGTATGGAAGATCTTCGCTGGTTGGTGAGTTTTAAGCCCATTGGAACACATTGAAAGGTTTTCAATATGTTTCAATGGGCTTTTTATTTTCGCTTTACGATGTTTTCGCTTAACAGCAATTTGCCTGGAATGGATTATCGCCGTTAAGCGAGGCACCACTGTACTTATTTACATGACAGTACCAAAAGCTTTTCTCAGCAATGATTAAAATTCAAGTTAGTTTCATCACTGTATAGGATTGTTCCATTTTTAAAATGTTCATGATTCAACGCATACTTTTGTCTTATGACACACCAGAGTAGCTCCTGCCTCATTAAAAAGAGAATTGCTATGTTGCATGTTTGACATTTTAGTACAGATTGAGATAAGGAGCAAATGCGAATCTTGCAAACTGGGAAGAGCACAGATAAGGGAGAGGATTAATCTTGTCTTTCCCCATTGCACAACCTATAACTTTTTCCCATGCTTTCCTTTCCACATGAGTGTAGCAAATTGTGTGAGCCAAGTAGCAGGCATGGGAAGGGTTGAAGTGTCATCCCATTTTGTCTTTGATTTCTATTCTGTAAGTGCACATCTTGCATGATGTTAAATTGAGGTGGTAATGTAGATTTCTCTGGCTTCAGTTTGGCTCTGCAAATGTAGAGTTGAGCTAAAAGATGCCCAAGCTGATTTCATCTTTTTGTTACTTAGGTAACAAAAGTTGCAGTGGCTCAGTACACAGCCTAACTTCTTTAGATGCCAAAGAGACACCAAAGGCTCCAGAAAACCCAGATCTGCCTCCAAAAATGGGCAGAAGACTGCGATTAGATGCAGCATCAAGTAATGGCTATCAGAGACCAGGGTCCGTGTAAGTTGGCCTAATTTGTTTTGTTCGGGGGGGTAGTGTTTAACTCCTGCTTTCAACAGACTATGTGTAACTCTCAACTGTGTTCTTCATTGTAGTGTAGCAGCAAGGGCCCAGCTGTTCGAAAGTGGTTGCTCACTTAAACAGACTCCCCCAGGAAGGTAAGCTGTGTTTCGACGATGCTGTATTCTTTGAATATTCCTTATTTTGAACATCATGCATGCCCCTTCTGCTGTGAAATCATGTGGACTAGAAACGTTTTCTGAAAATCATGGGCTGGAATTCTATTTGTATTTGCATGGGGTTTGCATAACTTCTTGTAACCAATTGTGCAGATTGGCAAGGTGCTGGACACATCTTGGTTGTGAAATCGGGTACATGATTAGGCATAGGACGGAGATACCTTCACCACACCTGATCAGCTGTGGCAGGTTACTCAGATACCAATAGAATTCTGGCCCTTAGCTTGAACTTAGTGATGAGTTTTGCATTATATTCCTGGAGTTGTAGTAGAGGTGGTAGGAGTAATAAACAGAGAATTCTAAAAGCAAAATAGGAAGTGCTCTATCCTGTTTCAAACTGAGCTCAGACCTCTCCAAATTCAGGTTTCGTCCTCAGCCAACTCTCTCTGCCACCCTTCCTTCCTTCTCCAAGGGTAGGAGAGTTTAAAGGACTTACCTGAGATCATGGAGGAATAACATGTGCTCTAAAAATGAATCGGTAAAGATAAAGAATTTAACTATACTGCCTTGGATATTAAACTCTCTTTCTTAAGAGAGGTAGAGACAATAAGAAATAGGGAACTGTTTACATTCTTACTTGTTTTCCTCACTTTCATACCTTGTCATTCATCCATTTGCCCAATTTCAAGAGAATATCTTCAAAACTAGAGATATGTAAATGTATGTTTTAGACTTTTGTTGTTTAGTCGTTAAGTCTTGTCCAACTCTTCGTGACCCCCATGGACCAGAGCACACCAGGCCCTCCTGTCTTCCACTGCCTTCCAGAGATGGGTCAAATTCATGTTGGTAGCTTCGATGACACTATCCAACCGTCCCGTCCTCTCCCCTCCCCTTCTCCTCTTGCCTTCACACTTTCCCACCATCAAGGTCTTTTCCAGGGAGTCCTCTCTTCTCATGAGATGTCCAAAGTATTGGAGCCTCAGCTTCAGGATCTGTCCTTCCAGTGAGCACTCAGGGTTGATTTCCTTCAGAATGGATAGGTTTGTTCTCCTTCCAGTCCGGGGGACTCTCAAGAGTCTCCTCCAGCACCACAATTCAAAAGTATCAATTCTTCGGCAATCAGCCTTCTTTATGGTCCAGTTCTCATTTCCATACATCACTACTGGAAAAGACATAGCTTTGACTATGCGGATCTTTGTCAGCAAGGTGATGGTTCTGCTTTTTAAGATGCCGTCTAGGTTTGTCATCACTTTCCTCCCAAGAAGCAGGTGTCTTTTAATTTCATGGCTGCTGTCACCATCTGCAGTGATGATGGAGCCCAAGAAAATAAAATCTCTCACTGCCTCCGTATCTATCCCCTTCTATTTCCCAGGCGGTGATGGGCCCAGTGGCCATGATCTTAGTTTTGTTCATGTTGAGCTTCAGACCATTTTGTGCTCTCCTCTTTCACCCTCATTAAGAGGTTCTTTGTTTCCTCCTCACTTTCTGCCATCAGAGTGGTATCATCTGCATATTTGAGGTTGTTGGTATTTCTTCCGGCAATCTTAATCCCTTCTTGGGATTCATCTAGTCCTGCTGTTTTTAGACTACGCCTCCCAAAATTGTAGGATCTGTTTTAGTCTCATGTGAGCTGTGTAATTTGATGAAAATTTTGGGGGGAAAACATCTTTGTGACAGAGTGATGTTGAGCTAAGCAAAACTCCATTCATTCGCCTTAGAGAAGAGTTTGGGTTTGGAAAAAAAGATATATCTCTTTTAAGTCAAGATTAACACACACCGTCCAAGAAGCTGCTGGTTAAAATCTAAGCAAAGGTTTCTGAGTTCAGATAGGAAGGCAAATGATGAAACTTCCCTCTCCACCCCACCCAGAATTGTGGTTCACAAACCAACTTCAAACTTTGGTCAGATCATGTTAAGCAAATTATTGCAAACCTTTTTTTCATTAGTCATCTGTTCAATACAGCCACTTATTTCATAAAATCAAAGTTGTTGTTAGCTGGACTAACAACAACCAGTGCTAAAACCTGAACAGTATTTTGCTGATTTGGATCTAAATAGATGATTACCTACGCCTTATAGGTCACTTTGAACTTTTAGAAAGAAGGAGTACAGTAAGAGCAAAAATGATTCAGTTTTCAAGAATGAAAGCATCCATCTATGTTGTTTTTATGCTCACAACAACTGAGGCATCTCAGAGGAAAAGGTTTTTCCCCCAAAGCATACTCACTGGCTGTATGGCTGGGTTAAGTGTTTATATACAGCTGCTGCATGGGGTGGGCAAGCTTGAAGTCAGAAAACAAAAGTAAAATACCAGATATTTAGTCTACAGTCATTTGTGAATTATTCTAGTCTTTGCAGTGGGATATCTGCATATCCCCCCATCAGTACCTTGACCTCTTCTACCTTGCCTGTTCTTAAAATATTATCTTAAAGTATACTTTTATTTTAAATCTCTTAATTTCTGCCCCCTCCTTAAATCAATATAGCAAGGTGTAGACCTTCTTGTACATCAGAGGTATACAGGTTACAAAGCTACACGGTTATATCCTGTTCCTTAAAAAGGCTCCTTATGCCCTCAAAATCAGTATTTTCCCCAACCCTGTGCCCCTAAGTATTCTTAACCCAAAATTCCCAGAAGCCTTCACCGCCAGCTGTGCTGGCCAGGATTTCTGAGAGTTGCCATCCAAGAACATCTGGGGACCAGAGGTTGGGAAGCACTGCTCTAAATCTGTTTAAGGTTTTGGGGGAGGGAATGTTAAGATATGGGTACTATTTACCATAATGTACTTTACTGACAAAAAAAAAATCCTTAGTGCAATTTTTTATTTAATACAAATGCCCTTCCATTCATTCCTAGGTTGTCAGATTTTTTTTAATGTAATAATGACCACTATGATTTTTCAGGCAAGCCAAAGCCATGTACTCCTGCAAGGCTGAGCATAGTCACGAGCTCTCCTTCCCCCAGGGAGCAATATTTTCCAATGGTAAGATGCAGCATGTTTTATGGTTATTATTAGAACAGTAACAGTAACTTATAAGTATGCACATTTCTATTTTGCATGAAAAAGAATGAAAAAACTAAGTCTTTGGTTGGCTGCAACAGACTTAAATCTGAATGTCCCTGTTTTTAGTTTACTTATGCTGATATATACAGTATGTGTGTTCCATATGCATGCACATATATACAATGGTGCCTCGCTTAGCCATTGCTCCGTTTTACGATGAAATCGCTTAGCGACACATTTTTTGCGATCGCAAAAGCGATCGCTTTGCAATGTTTCCTATGGTTTTTTTTCACTTTGCGATGATCGCAGGGAAGTGATCGTCGCAAAGCCCCCATTTTCACACAGCTGATCGGTGGTTTCAAAATGGCCACCGGGTAAACAAAATGGCTGCCCGCTGTGTTTTCGCACTGATTCCTCGCTTTAGAGGCACCGAATATGGCGGCGCTGTGGAGGATCTGTGCTAAGCTGTGAGTTTTAAGCCCATAGGAATGCATTGAAGGGGTTTTCATTCTGCAGCGATTTCTGTGGAATGGATTAACGTCGCTATGCGAGGCACCACTGTACCCTTATGTTGTTGTCATCATTTTGTTGTTGTTGCTCTTGCTGTTTGAAACATTTGTCTAGGAGAGAGCACAGTATTACTGTTTAAAACATGGATTCAAAAGAGATTACCAGTTGAAAGTAATGCTTTAAAGATAGTCATAGAGAGGAAGGGCAGGATATATTCTCAGTCATCCCCAAGTGCAAGACGTGTAATAATGGGCTCAAGTAACAGAAGACGAATTTCAGTTTGAATATCAGGAAAAACCTCCTAACGGTTAGAACAGTACAACAGTGGAACCCATTATCTCAGGAGGTGGTGAGGAGCTCTTCAGCTTTGGAGGTATTCAAGAGAAAAATAAACAAACATCTATCAGGTATTGATTCCTGCATTGAGCAGTAGGTTGGACTTGATGGCCTAATGGGCCCCTTTCGACTCCATTATTTTATGATTTGATGATTCTATGAAAATGATTTCAGTGTTTTCTATTTCTCAACAGTGTATCCCTCTGTGGAACCAGGTTGGCTGAAAGCAACATATGAAGGCAATACAGGACTTGTTCCAGAAAATTACGTTGTCTTTTTCTAGTAAAACTTAGACAGCAGTATCTTCATGGTATCCATGGTAACGGCAATAAGCACTATGATTTTTTTTAATCTGACACAGATACAGGGGTCTGCCAGTTAGCCCTGCATGTGGTAGATTTCCTTCGACGTCTGCTACTGCAGACTATGTAGCTTCTTACAAGTGGAACAAAACCTAATGAAAATAGTCAACAGGGTTTGTTTGTGTTTTTTAAAAAAATCTTTCATGTTTTCAAACTGAAAATGGTACTCTTTCTATCATTCTCCATTGGTAACTGTAGTTTGTTTTTTTAAAGAGAGAAGCATCAGCCTCTTTTTGAGCTGATTTTGATTTTCAGTTGGTCCAAGTCATTTCTAAGGAAGTCTTTGATTTAAACCAGTATTTAAAACTGTTGATAATTCACAACTTGCAAGTGGAATGAATGTCACTTATTAGGCATAAAAATGCCATTGATTTGAACACCATTTCACAAAAATGTGGAGGGTTTTTTTTGTCTGTTTGTTTTAAAAGGCATTTTCAAGACAGTACCTGAATGATTGACTTGGTTTCTTCACTATTTTATGTTCTATCCACAAAATTATTAATAAATTATATTTATAGAAGCAGTCTGCTCTGAAAAGAAAACATAACCTGAACGTCAAGAAGATAAATTACTCATGGCTTTGTGTTTTATTTTCTGTTTTTACTTTGGGCCCTTCAAATTGGAAGACAGCTGGACCCCAGCTGAATAGCTGAGTACAAATGAAATAATAAAACTGGAGTTTATAATGTTGCAAAAATGAACAGGTAATGAACACGAGTAAGTGGAGCTTTACGTAAATACCATTATGTCTCCAAAATCCATTCACCAGTGGTTTAACACATGAGACTGTTCAAGCTCTTGAGTTTTCCTCTACAAATTTGACAAGTGTCTTCTGAAAGCACTGGGCTTAATGATTTTACACACACATGCCATGGTACTTAGTATTGTTTGACTCACTTCAAAACATAACAAGCCAACTCCAATATATTCTCAGTTCTGTTCATGTTGCAGCATCAGGTCTTGGACATTTGCCCAAACTGTCCTGCTAGTGAAGTTTCATAAAATCAAATCTTCTGAAAATTCTGTTTTATATTGGTATGATGAGTTTCTATCTGAAGTTGCCATTCTGATTATCCCATTGTTGAAATATCAGGCAGTAAACTGTGGTACTATAACAGGGCTTCTCTTCTGTATTGCTGGATCCCTTTTATGAGTCGCCTGTCTGTTGTTCATCAGTGTATTATTTATGTCTATTAACGCTAGCAAATGCAAAGATATTGGTTGTTGTGGGTTTTTCGGGCTCTTTGACCGTGTTCTGAAGGTTTTTCTTCCTAACGTTTCACCAGTCTCTGTGGCTGGCATTTTCAGAGCTCCTCCTGTCCTCTGAAGATGCCCGGCCACAGAGACTGGCGAAACGTTAGGAAGAACAACCTTCAGAACACGGTCAGAGAGCCCAACCATTAGATCCTGGTCGTGAAAGCTTTCGTGAATACAAATGCAAAGATAATTTTCATACAGGAATGTCTCCTCAACTCTTTTCCAGTCTACATATACTATAAAATGATGAGGTTGCACAGTCTTTTGGTGAATGAAGAAACTATAGACTGAAAAAAGTTTTTTAAAAGAAAACATGTTTTTTCTTTTTTTAAAAAAAGCAGTGCAGGTAGAAAACTAGCACGCTCAATAGTGGAACAGGATAGGCTGTGTACAAAATCCAGTCCAGCTTCATATTCTGAAACTCAGTCAGCCTGATTCAAGCCAGTGTGTATGACATCTGGATCCATGTGAAATCACAATGATGGATTGTTCTGCTACCATCCGTTTCTTCCTTTCATGAGTAGCAAGGATGTGGCCTGGACTGACATCAAGGTCTGTTGCAGCTTGTTCACTGGCTGAAATGAGCAACTCAAGTCATCTTCAAAAGCCCTGATCAAGTACTTCTTTGGCTTAGTTGCTTAGACTTCATGGGAAATGGAACTGCCCCTGGAAGGGAACTGGTGATAATTGCATCCTGTCTCCTGTTATGTTTCCCAGCTTTCGATCCTGCTTCGTACATAACTGGGACAGTGTTAACCCATACCAGCAATGTAATCCACATGTATAAGAACTTTGCTGTTGTGATGAAACTATTGGAATCATGTGGGCTTCCCCTTTGCCAAATCAGCTTCATAATTTGGAGTGCAACTGATTTGTTTCCTCAGTCTAGCATTGCTGCCGTTATAGGAGACCTAGGGCCGGTATAGCTTGTAATCACATCAAACTCAATGGGGTAGAGGCCATAACTTAGAGCTGATATGTATTATTTTCTATTCCAGTCCCAGCCTTTGCAGGAAGGGGCTAGGAAATCCTTTCTGAAGCTGCAGGCAGCTGCCGCCAGTGTGGATCAAAGAGCTAACTTTGCCAAATTAATTTGGTTTGCAGTCTGTCTTCAACTTCAGAAGCAGAGGATTTGTCACGTCCTTGGTGGGTGCCCTGTCTGACTTCTATTCTTGCTCTTTGCCCTAGCCAGACTAAAATGCATTGATTCCAAGTTGTTCTCACTGAAGTTTTCCTGGTATCTTGAAAATCTCTATGAAGAAGTGTGCTGTAAAACTGATTATACTGTATCTGATCTTAGCATTGTGGTTCATGAAAAGATGGACCTTATTGCTCGGTTTAGCTAAAACGTTTGTTCGAAAAGGAACTCTGATGCCACCAAGCCCAAGATTAATTGCCCAATGAGCAAAACTAACAAACTCATTCTTCATTTTGCATCTCACCCCAAAAACATGCATTCAGGGCAAAACGGTTGCTAGGCAGTTGCCGCTGATAATGCCCCTTTAGTTGATAATGTTTTGTCTTTCAAAAAAAGATGGGAAAGACTGAGAGTCTATCCACTTCATCCATCTTATTACTAGCCTTTGGCATCTGCGGGGCCCATTTCACTATCTTTCCAATTTGTAAGGTAAAGGTTCCCCTTGACATTTAGTCCAGTCATGTCCAACTCTAGGGCGTGGTGCTCATCCCCGTATCCAAGCCCTAGAGCCAGCGTTTGTCCATAGACAGTTTCCATGGTCACATGGCCAGCATGACTAGACACGGAACACCCTTACCTTCCCACTGTGGTGGTACCTATGTGTCTACTCACATTTACATGCTTTCGAACTGCTAGGTTGGCAGGAGCTGGAACAAGCGACAGGAGCTCACTCCGTCGTGTGGATTCAATCTTACGACTGCTGGTCTTCTGACCTTGCAGCACAGAGGCTTCTGTGGTTTAACCCTCAGTGCCACCACTCCCTGTTTGTAAAGGTAGTAAATGTATGTGGCAATAATGTTTAGCATTCTGCATCTTGAGAGTTGTGTGGGTGGTAGAGTTCCTTGAACTGCCATCACTATCCTCATAGTAGATGATTGAGATAATGCTTTACTAGATCTCTGTCATTTCTCAGAAATCAGAAGTTGGAATCTGTTTGCGGTTATTGTTGCTACATACCAACAAGTAGCCTCTAACCTATGGCAAAACCTAATAGGGTTTTTCAAGATACTTGAGATACGTAAGGAGTGGTTTTATTATTGGCTCCCCCAGTGAGTATCCACAGCTTGACAAGGATTTGAACTCAGATCTCCTGAGTCTGAGTCTGTCTATCTGTTACACCACACTCACTCACTGTATGTGCAGTAATTCCTGGTTAAAAAAAAACCACCACCAGTTAACCAGTCTCTATTGATGTACATAGTTGTAATCCAGCAGCTGAGAGAAAACAGGCTGAGGTGTATTTTCAAGAACTACTGCTATAGGCCACATCCCATCAGTGTATAAGCAGAATTTTGAGGTTTGATCTTTATCTTACCTTAATTAATGTATGGACATCTTAGAAGGATTCTTTCATTGCATGAAACTCATCTTTCTCAACAGCACTTTTTATGATGTTGACATGATCGTTTCTTCTTGCAGCTCAGCTGGTCAGAGTGCAGGCAACAGGCAGTGTGCAGAAATTTAGATGGTGCCCCCACTTAGCATACGTCGCTGTCTGTAGTCTCCTCAATCTTTATTTCCCCCTCCCTCAAATAGAATTATATTGCTCACAGAGGGGGCAGGGATCAGTTTTGTCTTATTTTGCCCAGAATCCTCACACAGACCCCTCAAAAGATGTTTTGAAAAAGATTTCTTTGAAAAATGCCACAGGGTTGATGGGGGGGGGGGAAGAGCTTTTTCAGTTAAAAAAGAAAGAAAAATATTTTGGGAAGGTAAGGAATTGTGGGAGCAGATGCAACTCTTCAAGGTCTGACGGTGGGCCCGTGTGGCTGCCGGTTCTGTGGAAGTTGCCACCCACTGATCTGTATAGTTAATCATCCCATTGTGTAAATAACTGGCTTTCAAAAACATGTTTGGATCTTCTTTTAATCATCATCATTTTATAAATTCAGAGTTGGAAGGGATCCTATGGATCATTGTGACCAACCGCTGTCCAAGGAGAGACGCAGTGGGGAATCAAACTCCTTATCTCTGGCTCCACAGCCAAAGACCTGAATCCCGAGCTATCCAGTAGTTCTCAAGGAATGTCATTTTAAAAAAAACTAAAAGAGTTAGTTGGACTCAAACACCAGTTGATTATAATGGTTCTACTCTAAGTGTGGTCTAAGCTCCAATTAGGTTGTTGTCTGTAGACACCATTGAACACATGACCAGGTAGGTCATTCTGTGGCCTGCATAGAACTTTGCCCTTTCACCCACCCGTAGAGTATATTGCTCTGTTCCTAACGTCAGCATCTGCGGCAAAAATGCCATGGATGAAGTACAGTGCTGTGGCTGATGTCAAGGAGGGGGCAGATCCCGATGGCACAGATTTGCTTCTGTTTATATGTACAGCAAAACTGATAAAGGAGAAACCAAGGAGAGCTTAAACAGCAATCCTATCTAGTGTCCCATAATTAAAGTGACAATTGACAATAATTTGAAAAGGGGTGCTTGTAGTTTACGGGAGCTTTGCTTCCCATAGTATACACAGGCTTTTCTGTTGCCTTTGGGCCAAAAGCATTTTGCAGACTATTGAGCCACTACCACAGTGCAAAGCGGAAACAAAAGTGTGCTGCTTATATACTGCCCCATAGCACTTAAACCACTCTGTTGGTGGTTTACAATTTATTTATGCAGGCTACACATTGCACGCACACAAACACTATGTTTGTGGTTTACAATTTATTTATGTAGGTTACTCATTGCATGCACACTCCCCACCACAAACTGGGTACTCAAGTTACCGACCTCAGAAGGATGGAAGGCTGATATAACCTCAAGCTGGGATTGAATTTAGGTCATGAGCAGAGTTTTGGCTGCAGTTCTGCAGTTTAAGCATTTTGCTACGAGGCTCCTACGCTGTGCATATAGCAGAGGTTAGTATTTTACACATAATAAGCAGTGGGTCATCTGTTATATCACAAGACAAAACTATTTTATTATTTTTTTTAAAAAAATGATTCTTAGTGATATGCTTTGCAAACAAAAATTGTGATCATATGAGTTTAAATTGTATGTCATAATTTGGATGCAGCAGCGATTCCCTGCCTTGAGTAACGCAGGTGTTCTTGGACTGCATTTCCCAGAAGTCTGCACCCTCAGTTGTGCAGGCCGGTGTTGCTGGGAGTTGCCATCCAAGATCACCTTGGTTACCCAAGGTTGGGAACCACTCAGATAGAGGATAGTAACTGTGAGAAAAGCAAAACACTCAACATAAAGGGAACGAGAGGGTGTAAAAGTCTGTGTGCCATTAGCACATTACTCATTCAAGGCATGCCTAATGAGAAGCCCTTCAGCAAGGAGAAAGAAAACAACCCATTTGTGTGCACATGGATGTCTTGCACATGCACCATCCATTCCAGGGAGAGGGGATTTTGGTATGGATCAACTTTCTCCACTGGAATGAAAGAGAAAAAATACTCTTTTGGCAGGGAAGTCATGTGAACAGTCCTAAAACCATCAAGGAAATAGCTTTGATCTCAACCAGAAGCACAATTGAAAGTAATTGCAATATTTGCAAGGCGAGCTGTGTTAACTACAAAATCAGACCTTTTTTTGTTAGCTTCCTCAAAAAAATTACTAACAAAAGTGGAAAGACCATTTCTTACTAACTCAGCTTCCTCAAAAAAGTACTGAGTTAGTAAGAAATGGTCTTTCCACTCAATATTTTTTTTCTCCCCACCCTGCTCCCATAGTCCTACCCACAAGCTGATCATATGGAAATACCTTTCCAAAATCAGTTGTTACTGAATATTGGTATCTGTCACAGAATGTGGTGACTTTGACTACTTCTGCATTGGGCAGAGATATCTGAAAGCCTGCTTCTTTCCAAATGCA